GGGTTTAGGGTTTAGGGTTTAGGGTTTAGGGTTTAGGGTTTACCTTTTTTTTTTTCTTCTGGTGATTTAATTTTTAGATTTAATAAATCAAATTGTAAGGAGAAGGAAACACGACGAGGAAAAAAAGAGACAAAAAAAGAAGAAAAAAAAGAAAAAAAAGAAGAAGAAGAAGAAGGAGAAGGTAATAATTTATTTACTCTTTTTATATCTGCATGCATGCATGCACAGCAGCACAATTAAACAGCGCAGCCTCGTTATTAGGGTTTAGGGTTTTTGTTGCTAGGGTTTAGGGTTTAGTGACTCTCTCTCTAGGGTTTAGGGTTTAGTGTCTCTGTCGCTAGGGTTTAGGGTTTAGGGTTTAGAGTTATAGTTGGTTAACTCATGCATATGCAGTAAAAAAGTGTTTGTGTCTCTAGGGTTTAGGGTTTAGGGTTTAGGGTTTAGGGTTTACAATTATCCTTGATTAGTGCATGCATATGACTAAATTTTTTTCTTAATAATGCATGCAGGAGGGAATCAACAGTAAATGCATGCATCTTATTTGCTGCATTTTTTCCTAATTTATTAGCTAATCCTTTTATTAAGGGAGCAGCAGCAGCAGCAGCAGCAGCAACATTATCTTCACGTTCTGCTGCTGCTGCTGCTGCTGTTGTTATCTCAGGAGATGCTGCTGCTGCTAATGCTCGTAATACTGCATACATACAACAAACCCTAAACCCTAAACCCTAAACCCTAAACCCTAAACCCTAAACCCTAATAAATAAATAAATAAGGAGATTAACCTGCATAATAAGCCCATATAATAGGGTTAGGGGGTAAAGAAGAAAAAGAAATAATTTTATGACTAAATAAAGAAATATAATGATAAAGTTTGTCCCTTTTTGTTGTATTTTCTGCAGAAATAAAGGAAATAGATAAATTATTTAATTCTTAAAGTTTTTTTTTTTCTTCTTCTTCTTTCCCTTCTTTTATTCTTATATAATTAGATGAATATATATTTATATATAAACCCTCTATTAATTCTATATATGATGATACTTCATCCATTGATACTGTATACATACACACAAACCCTAAACCCTAAACCCTAAACCCTAAACCCTAAACTACATGGGTTAAAAAGGGGGGTTTAGATATAACTAACTAAAGTTTGGATGATATTGTCTAAAGGGTTTTAGTGTTTAGGTAGGGTTTATTCTTTAGTCCATATCTAGGGTTTAGGGTTTAGGGTTTAGGGTTTAGGGTTTATCTGACCTCTTTGTCTGATTGCATATTCAATTAAATCATTCATTTGCAAGGGTTTATGATTAGCCATTCCTTTTTTCTTTTTATTCTTCCTTTTCTTCTTCTTCTTGCTGCTGCTGCTGCTGCTGCTTGTGCTGCTGCTGCTGCTGCTGCTGCTGCTGCTGTGTAATTGAATAGTAGATAAATAAGGAGAGGAGGAGACACGAGGAGAAGAAGAAGAAAAAGAAAAAGAAGAAAGAAAAGAAGAAGAAGGAGAAGAAGAAGAAGAAGAAAAAGAAGAAAAAGAAGAAAAAAGTTCTTCTCTATCAATAAAAGAAAGAGAAAGAAATTGACGATGTAATAAACAAGAAGATGATTCTATAAAATCTGTACACACAACACAAACCCTAAACCCTAAACCCTAAACCCTAAACCCTAAACCCTAAGAGGGAAGAGATTCAATTGGCATTTTTCTAGTCGTTTCTGCTTACAGACAAATCGTTCTTCTTTATACCATCAAGGTACAAAAAAAAAGATGCAAACCCTAAACCCTAAACCCTAAACCCTAAACCCTAAACCCTAAACCCTACCATTTGGCGTTGGAAATTTTTCTGGGTGTTTCTCTCGAGATGCTGCAAGAGAAAGACAAACCCTTGACAATATAAACCCTTAATCACTATTTCCTAACTAGGGTTTAGGGTTTAGGGTTTAAGGGATTAGGGTTTAGGGTTTGACGAATACCATGAAAGGTTTTAATGTTGTTGTCCACGCATTCCTGAGGAACAGAGGGCAGACAACAAACCCTAAACCCTAAACCCTAGACCGTAAACCCTGGAGGAGCTAAACCCTAAACCCTAAACCCTAAAGCCTAGTGTTTATATATTTACCCTTAAATGTTGCATAAATTCTTTTCTTTTTTCTGCCTTTTGTCTTCCTTCAGCTGCAGACAAACCCTAAACCCTAAACCCTAAACCCTAAACCCTAAACCCTAGAAACCCTTTTTATAAGCCCTAGATTAGATAGTCAATTGGTGCACTTCCTGCACTACCCCGGAGCTGCTGTTTCTGCTATCTAGGGTTTAGGGTTTAGGGTTTAGGGTTTAGCGAACCTTTAATGATTATTTTTAATGCTTTTTTCTCTAATTGAGGGTTTAGCTTAGCAGCAACAATATTTTGTGCTGCTGCTTCTGCTGCTGCTGGTGTTGCTCCTGCTGCTGCTGCTGCTTCTGTTGCCCATACTTTCCTGCTTTTTATTTTGCTGCTGCTGTTGCTGTTGCAGCAACGAATATATTTCTTTAGCTGCTGCACCCCCATATAATTATTTGCTGCTATTTGCTGCAGCAGTGCTGCTGCTGCTGCTACCATTTCTTTTTGCTGCTGCCTATTTATAGGACCTGCTGCTGCTGCTGCTGCTGCTGCTGCTGCTGCTGCTGCTGCTGCTTCTTTTCCTCCCTTTATTGATTGAGGAAATGCCTTCGTATATTCCTCAGATAATGTTAACAACTTTGCCTCAACCTTGGTCGTCTCCAATACTGTAAACACCAAATTAGGGTTTAGGGTTTAGGGTTTAGGGTTTAGGGTTTAGGGTTTTTAATTGTTGTAGGGTTTGAGAGGAGTGTCTACTATTGGATTAAATATGACGATTAAAGTATATTGTGTCTCTCCTCAAAGGCCTACTAACTCTAATTTAGTGTTTAGGGTTTAGGGTTTAGGGTTTAGGGTTTAGGGTTTACATTGATTTTTGATGAGTGTAATAAGTTGAGGGTTTTGTATTTGTTGTTGTAATACATAAAGAATAATATTATAATTATTTATCCATGCAATTCCTTTTTCTTTTATTTCTTTTTCTTTTATTGCTGCTATTATTCTTTTTATTATTTCTTCCTTTATGTTCGGGTGTATAGACACCTCATACTCTTTTATATATTGAATTATATTTGCAAGAAATAGATGACCCTAAGGAGACAAAAAAGGAGACAAAAAAAAGAGACAAAAAGAGATAAAAGGGACAAAAGGAGACAAAAGGGGAAAAAAGGAGAAAAAAAAAGACATTTTTATCTATTAGGGTATATATTTTTTATATAAAAAAAAAGGGAGACAAAAAGAGACATATATAAACCCTAAACCCTAAACCCTAAAAAGAATAACAAGGGTTTATTTTACCTCCTCAGCAGTTAAGGGTTTTTGTCCCTCACATAACTTCTTCTCCTCCTCAACCTAAACAACATACACATAAACCCTAAACCCTAAACCCTAAACCCTAAACCCTAAACCCTAATGCCTAAACTCCAGACCCATATCCATAAACCCTAAACCCTAAACCCTAAACCCTAAACCCTAAACCCTAAAAGGCGGGAGAAGATGAAGATTCGTTTATATGTGCATAAGTGGTTTGCTGTATTAGTTGCTGTCTTCTTTTAGGGTTTAGGGTTTAGGGTTTAGGGTTTAGGGTTTAGATATGCCTACAAGTGTCTCTTTTTCTTTTTTTTTTCTTAATGGTCTCTTAAATGCAGCAGCAGCAGCAGCAACAGCAGCAGCAGCACCAAGTGTCCCTTTTCTTGCTTCTTTTTCTTCCTATAAAAGGAGACAAAAGGAGACACATAAAAAGGGCACCCTTCTCTTCTGCTGCTGCTGCTGCTGCTGCTGCTGCTGCTGCTGCTGCTGCTGCTGCTGCTGCTGCTGCTGCTGCTGCTGCAGCAGCAGCAGCAGCAGCGGATATTGTTGCTGCTACTGCTCTCGCTGCTGCAGCTGTACTTGTCGGTGTTACTACTGCTACTGCTGCTGCTGCTGCTGCTGTAGTTGCTGCTGCTGCTGCTGTTGCTGCTGCTGCTTATCTTACCTCTATTGCTGCTTCTTGTTCTTCTTTTGTTTCTTCTTTTGCTGCAGCAGCAACTGCTGCTGCTGCTGCTGTCTCCCCCTCTAATAAAAGTGTCTCCTTTTCTTCTTTTTCTTCTTCTTCTTCTGCTGCTGTTGCAGCAGCAGCAGCAGCAGCAGCAGGAGCAGCCTCTAATAAAAGTGTCTCCTTTTCTTCTTTTTCTTCTTCTTCTTCTGCTGCTGCTTCAGCAGCAGCAGGAGCAGCAGCAGGAGCAGCAGCAGGAGCAGCAGCAGCAGCAACTGTCTCCTTTTTTTCTTGTATTTCTTGTGTCTCCTCTTCTTCTATCTCTTCTTCTCTCTCTGCCTCAGGCATAGCAGCAATTGCTGCTGTCTCCTCTACTCCCTGCAGCAGCAGCAGCAGCAGCAGCAACAGCAGCAGCAGCAGCAAAAGTAACAACAAAGAAAAAATAACAACAGGAGACAAAAGAGAGACAGACAGACAAAGAGAAACAAATAAATAAATAAATAAATAAATAAATAAATAAATAAGTAAATAAATAAATAAATAAATAAATAAATAAATAAATAAATAGATATATACATGTATAATTGTCTCCTTTTCTGGTGTATAGGGAGGTTTAGTTATTTCTTTTATTTCTTCTTCTTCTTCTTTTTCTTCTTTTTCTCCTTCTTTTTCTGCCTCCTTTTCTTCTTTTTTTTTTTCTTCTTCTTTTTCTTCTTGCATGCGCTTCCTCCTTAATTGTCTCTTAAATGCAGCAGCAGCAGCAGCAGCAGCAGCAGCAGCAGCAGCACCGCCAACAGATAATGCTTCCTTCTTACGCTGCAGCAACACACAATAAACCCTAAACCCTAAACCCTAAACCCTAAACCCTAAACCCTAAACCCTTAACACACACCCTTAACCAGTAAACCCTAAACCCTAATATAGAGATGCAGTAAATA